TTTTTTTTGAGACAGGGTCTCACTACATAGTTGAGACTGACCTGGAACTCACTATGTAGCCCAGGCTGGTCTCGAACTCACAGCGATCCTCCTGCCTCAGCCTCCAGAGTGCTGGGATTCCAGGTGTGCACCACCACGCCCGGCTGAAAATATCCTTATCTTTTAAAGATACATACTAATATGCATATAGCCAAGCATAGTGGTGTCCACCTGTGATCTCAGCACTTGAGAGGCAGGACTGCCAAGAGCTCTGGGCCAGCCTGAACTACAAACTGAGACCCTGGCTTAAAAAATAAATAAAAACAACAAAAAAAATGTGTATGGATGAAATGATGTATTCTAAATTTCCTTCAAAAAATGTCTAGTTGGAAAAAAACTGTTTAAAAAGAGCTAGGGGTGTAAACCCCGTGGTACAGTACCTGCCTAGCATGTATGAGGCCCTTGGTTTAAACCCCAGTACTATACTTGTGCTTGGTTACATACAGTCGTGACACAAGATTGACACAGTGGGCCAACTGTGAAATCTGGGTGACAAGTACCTCAGTATCCAGTGTATTATTTGATTTTTAAAATGTTTTCCCTAATAAAAAGTTAAATCCTGAGGAATTTCAACCTGTAAGATTAAAGGAACAACTGACACTAGGGATTTAGCTCAGTGGTGCCACCACCTGCCTCACAAGAGCAAGGTCCTAAATTCCATCCCCAGTATAAAAAAACCAAACAAACAAACCCCACAACCAAGGCCATCAAACTAAGAGCTTAATGGGTAAGAAGGGGAAACAAATTAAAGGAAACTGGTGCTTCCTTGTGTACAGCACAGGAGCCTGTTCTACCTCTCAGCTCTCGCGGGTGAGCACTGAGGAACTTTCTGCAAAAGTCTGCAGAGACCAGCCTCTGCCAATGTCCTCCAGGCTTCCAAAGCTACAGCCCACCAAAAGTAGGCTGAGCCCTTCAAGGATACCCATCACTCCTGAAGATAACTAACCGCTATCTCCACCCACTTGCACACCTAGGCCACACTCTAGCTATAAAGGATGCAATATTTGCCCAGTTATCACACAGCATATCCTACACAGCCCTAGAAGAAAACTCCACCACGACCTCAAAGAACTAGGATTAGAGGTCCCACTTGACCCAGCTATCCCTCTGCTAGGTATCTTTCCAAAAGAATTAAAAAAAACATACCACAGCGATTTATGCACCATGTTTATAGCTGCACAGTAAGGTAAGGCTTGGAAACAGCCCAACTGCCCATTAACTGGAGACTGGGTAAAGATGGGTTTTTTCTATAAAATGGAGTACTACTCAGCCATAAAGAATGAGAAACATTTACAGCTAAATGGATGCACATTTAGGCTATACTCTTAAGTGATATAAACAGGGCATGCTTGAGTAAATACTGAATAGTTTCTCTGGTGTGAAAAACTAAAAGTGTAAATAAGGTTCAAATGGTATAACTGATAATGTGAAATAGGAAGAAAAGAGATAAAGGGGAAGTGGGATGGGAAGGAGAAAGGAAATGAGGGAAAAGAAAAAATATGAAACAATGAAAAAATGGAAACAGTCTTTGTAAATAGGGAAGGGTGAAGGGGGTGAAGAGAGGGCAGAAGTAAAGGGAAAAAAATAAGAACCAAGACATACCATGTAAAGGTACAAGATCCCAATGATAAATGTAACTGTATTTTGCTTTAAATATAAAGGGGAAGTGGGATGGGAAGGAGAAAGGAAATGAGGGAAAAGAAAAAATATGAAACAATGAAAAAATGGAAACAGTCTTTGTAAATAGGGAAGGGTGAAGGGGGTGAAGAGAGGGCAGAAGTAAAGGGAAAAAAATAAGAACCAAGACATACCATGTAAAGGTACAAGATCCCAATGATAAATGTAACTGTATTGTTTGCTTTAAATGTACCAATAAACTTAACGGTAGGAAAAAAAAGAAAACTCTACCATGGTTTAATCCAACCCCCTCAGAGCCTACTCTTTGCCTTGCCCCTCCACCACAGCAGAGGGCCATGAAGAAAGGATACTGTACTGGTTCCGATGCTTGGCATTGTCCTTCATTCTCTGCAACTGCTGCTGGTGACATTTCATGCTCCAAGGGTTATAGTGTTTAAGCTGGGAACTTATATTTCCCTTTTTTTCTACACTGTAGTATAAGACTTCAGATTTCTGTAGCCGCTCAAATTCTTCTTCTAACTTATGGCTATAAAGAGATAAAAATTCAATAAATCACAATGTCATAAATAATCAGTGTCAAAGAGGCATGAGGAACTTTCTGGAGTAACGACGAGATGATATCTTGATATGGTAGTGGTTACAATGTACACCTCTGCCCAAACTCTAATAAACACTTTAAATGGGGGTGCATACACATATATACACACACACATATATATATGTTTTGGGGGGTACTGGGGGTCAAACTTGGGACCTTGTGCTTGCCAGGCAGACAGCAAAACCACTGAGCTAAATCCCCAGCCCAAATGGGTATATGTTATCATACACATTACTCAAGAAAGTTGACTGAAAAAAAATGCAATGAGAACCTAAAACATAAGAGCAGCCCCTGCACCCTAACTATCAAGGTGGGCAGCCTCCACTCCCCTTCCAGTAAATACCAACCCTTGGTTTCTGGTATACAGGATCCCCCGACTAAATGCTAGGGAATGGGAAAATCAGAATTGAAATTCCACAGGAATAAGGTTAATTTACTTAAGTTGTATTATACAGGCTTATTTAGTAGTACTGAGGGTTAAACACAGAGCCTTCACACTGAGCTACAACACCAGCCCATTTTTCAATTTGAGACAGGGCCCTGCCAAGTTGGTAAGGTGCCTAGGCTAGGCTTGCAATCCTGTTTTAGCCTCCCAGAGCACTGGGATTATAGATGTGCCTACCACACTCGGCTAATTTATACTTTATATCTTCACAAGCTCTACTAAGGCACGGAACTTGGAAGGAACTGCCTCATGGATCAACTTTCACAGATATCCTCTACAACTGATGAGCAACCTAAGGTAAAAGGATGGTTCTCATCACATCTGTGGGATACAGGACAGGGCATGGCAAAGAGCAATTGTGGAAGTGAAATTTTTTTTATAGTTTCCACTTTAGGTGTTTACCTAAAATAGCATGTCTTTCTTCTTCTTTTTTGAGACAAGGTCTTGCTATGTAGTTCAGCCTTGAATTCACAGTGATCCTCCTACCTCAGCCCCGCAACTGGTGGGATCACAAGTGTACGTCCCTGCGTCCAGCCAAAAATGGCATGTCCTAACCGAATTTATTAGAGATGCTGGCCAGAATGTGTGGGATTGGTCACTGAGTGACAGGGCATCTGTAAGTTTGCCAACAGTCCAGGGAATCTGGCTGTAACCAAGAACCCCAACACCTCTGCTCCCATAGCACCAAAGTTCCCCTCTCAGTCTACACCCACCTCTTCATCTTCTCCTCTTTCCGGTGCTGGCGCACCCAGTCCTTGGGGCTTTTTTCTGTTTCTAGGACGTGGTGTTTTTTATTTGTCCACCTTAGAAGCTTACTTTTTGGTTCACAGTCTGAATTGTCTACAATGTCCACAGTTCCATGGTCCCCTTTTAATGGATACGCTACTAAACACAAGTTCCTGTCTTCATCTTCTTTGAAGTGTACAGATACCACACCTGGAGAGGGGGTGAGGAGCAGAAAGGACTTTTAATTCTACAGGAAAATGCGTTCTAAATAACATGATTGTAACATTTGTTTTTTTTCTTACCCTGTTCCTTAGTCTCTATGTTGCCAGAGGCCCCAAACTCATCTGCAAACCTAACAAATGTCAAAACAGCTAGAAAAAAATGACACCATACAAGACAAGCAATTAGGGAGCAAACACAGCCAAGAGTCTTCCTCTCTAATTAACTCAACAAGGCAAGAGCCAAAGAATTACAAGACACATTTTTCCATCATTGAAAATGTTTATTAATTTTTATGTAATTCTTCTAATCCTAAGAGAAATGCAACATTGCTCTTTACGTCCCGTGGGAATTTTGAATGACCCAAACAGAAACTCCAGCAGCCTGCAGGATGGCTTTAAAGCACAGCCTAAATAAGATTGGGTAAGCAAAGCAAAATAAAGACGCAAACAAAAACAAACCACACAGCACAAAGACATCCTAGCAAAGGCTTCCTGTAGTGTGCCCACATGGGTTAGTGTCCCAAGCTTATCTTTCTTGTTTATGCTTTTATTCATCTTTGCAGTTTTGAGTCACAAAAGAACAAAATGAACACAGGCAGATAAGGCTGTGCAGGGAGCACAGACACAGGCTGGCCTTGAAAGCAGCTCTCCTGCTTGAGTCTTTAGGACCTGCCATGTGTGATTATACAGTCTTTGAGGAGGGGCTGTCAGATGGGAACATTTCAGCAGGTGCCGACGAGCGCCTTACAACCGACAGGCTGAACACCTTTCCTGCCAGGCCTCTCTGACCCAGGATCACTCACTCTCCTCAGTCCTTCAGCCCTCCCGCTTGCAAGCTTGCTGCAGGGGAATGCGTGCTCAGAGAGACGATACTTCTGAGGTGGCCCCAGCTCTGGGTGCAGAGAAGCCAGGGTGGGGAGCTCAGGGGACCACACTTCCCTGTGGCCATTGGGGAAAGGACCAGGGGAAAAAAGGGGGCAGGGGTGGCCAGCTAACAAGGGAACTTTGGCTTTGTCCTGAAAAAAAAACAACAGAGAAGGACCAAGTGAGGGCCCCCAACTCCCCCTCCCCCACCACAACACACATGCATTTCAGTGTACAGATTGGCTCCCAGTACATTGTCCTTAAAAATGCTTCAACAGTCCCAGAAGAACCTAAGTTGTTCTAAAGTCTTTTTTATAACCAGTAATACACATTTAAAATTAATTTCTTTAATATGTTCTCCACTGATTTACAAAAGATACCCCTCCCTCCCCATGAAAGATCAGACCATGTTGGTGGCTACTGATGTCCCCAAAAGAACGCATTGTAAAAAGGAAGAAAAAGTCACCATATGTGAATCAAAGGGTTGACTTCACATAGCAATTCTGAGGACATTCTGTAATAGCTAAGGCCTGCAGCTAATCAGCACAGTCCTCCCACTCCTGCATTCCATCTGACTCAATCCTGCTCCCAGCCTACCTAATCAACCGGGCTTCTGGTTTCCTGGAGGTCAAAAAGCAGGCAGCAAGAATTCTGGGTAAAATCTTCCCCGTTTTTCCCCATGGTTTCCAGCCCATGGGGGGATTATGGGTTACTGTGATCAAGAGACATCTGAACATAAAACACAACTATGCTTCCACCAAAAATAAAACAAATCCACAAAACAAAACAGAATTGAGCAATCTTACCAGGACTTGAAAACTGAGGGTATGAGGTGCTGGGCTGAGGGCCAAGAGGAGGAGGAGGGAAAACAGAGTGTGTGGAAGGGGTGAGGGTTCCCAGGATGGCTGCCAGGGCCTTCCATGGCCACGACCCCTCACAGCTCACCAGACTGGTGACCCTCTCTAGGAGCTGGGGGCTCACCTTTGTACTGGGGAGTGAATTTTCGCATCTCAGCTGGCAGAGTCTCGTAGAACTGATGTTCTCTTGGAACCAGGGGCTTGCAAAGGGTTGTCTCGTTGAAACGGAGAACGCATGAATGTCCCCCAACTTGGTGGACAAAGGGCTCCAGCAGGATGCCCTTGGTGTGGGGCTCCACGTCCATAGCCCTGAAGGCTGGGCTCATCCTCCGGACACGGGAGGCAGAGAGAAGCGGGAGGCAGCGGGGTCCAGCGGCCAGCGCGTCCTCCAACTGTTTGTCCGTGCCTCTGTGATGTCTCCACTCCTCAGCTTGTCGGGCCAGGTCACTCTACCAGAAACAAACAAAAATGACGACATGTGGGTTGGAAGAAGCCTGGGAACTTGGGAACAAAATGCGGAGCTGCACAGCCACTGGCCCTTCCCCTCCAGGAGAAAGACAACAGCTACAGCTCACGTAGGGCTCCACCCACGCTACCCACACCAGCCCCACCTCTTCCCGAAGACAAACAGTCTTCGAGGGGGTAGGCCAGGAAGGGAGGGATCTGACAGGCAGAAACTAGGCTCCAGGGCCTCCTAAACAGCCAAGGCCCTCACCACAGCATTGCAAAAGCACAAACCCACAAGGGGGTAAAATGACGATTTCCAACATAATATTCACATTAAATTAGTAAGTCTGTCAAACCTAAGGTAAATGGTACCCAACTTTCTTCATTAATTACGTTTTTATAAAATGCATTTAAATACAGGAAAAACCACTGTATGCATCATCTAGGAAGATTTCCATAACCAAGGTGTCCACACACCACCTGCCCAAGGCCAAAAACAAGCCCCATTAACCTTATTAGAAATGAAGCTTGGACTCAGCTTTAATAATTAACATCTGTATCTAAAAACACCTGATCAAGGCTGGCTAACTCCATTTAAAAAGATACGTACTGTTCTAGGTCACACACTTTTTTTTTTTTGGTCACAGACTATTTTTATCTGCTCTATTCTATTCGCCAAACCAAAGCTGTGTTTTGGGGGCAATCAAGGATCTTATCAAGCATGGATGGAGGGCTAGATCTCATTATGCATCCGCAGCCACACAACTGGACGTCAGGAAAGCATCTCTCTGTACATGCCTTGTCAACTGTTTTAGGGAATGTCAAGCTAGTTCTGCTTTCTGTCTATAATTCACAGACATGCAGTCTCTACTACTACACTGCTTATAGGGCTTGAACTATAGTATCTTGTGGTACAGGGTTCTTACTGGGAGTTCCTATGACTCCAAGCAACTGCTATGTATCAGGCTCATTACAGGAACTTCTTGTTCTTATTCTAACTTTCTATAAAACAGACACTACTATTCCCACTGCAAACAATGAAATTTTGACAAGGGGAGGTTAGGAAGGACATCCAGGGCCAAAGCCAGTAAGTAAGCCACAGCTCCCAAGTGAGCCCTCCAACTGCAGAATGTTAGATGCCCCGTTCAAATGCATGTAGGGCCCACGGGACTACTGCCATGGTACAGCTTACCCATTGCATACATATAGCATTCAGCTTGTCCCAATATGCATGCTTTCACCACAAATTTATATTTTCTATAGTAGCCTCTTTAAAATGAGTTTAAAATGGTATTAATTCTCTTTCTTTCAGAGAGTAACTGTGCATCCCTACTAGACTCAAGGACTGGAAATCAGTAAGACTTCCTATATGCAAAGAACAGAGACACAAAGGTCCTGATTTCTAACCTGACACAATATTCCTGACACCAGAGAACTCCTTGGAAAGGCATATAATGAGTTCCAAACCATACAGACAATAATGGGACCAGACTGATGAGCACATTCTAGCGATTCCAGACTCTCTCCACAAGATGGAGCTCTGAGATGCCCAACAACAGAGGTTTTTTTTCCGTAGTTCTACACAGACAGGTTCACACTAGTCTACAGAAGACCCCCACCACCCTGGAGATCCAAACCCAGGGACTGTACATGTCAGGCAAGTGCTCTATCACTGAGCCCAAAAAGCCCTCCTGATAAACAATACCAAAGGAAAATAACTGACTCATAGTCTGTCTGTAACAAAACCTGGGGCAGATACTGTAATTATTAAACTGCGAAGCCAGGCTTGGTGCCACATGCCTGTAACCCAGCACTCGGAAGGCTGAAGCAGAAGGATCGGCTGGACTTCAAGGCCAGTCTTGGCTATATAGTGAGTTCAAGACTAGCCTGAAATACACAGCAAGACCCTGTCTCAAAAATCACAATGTACACTTGCCACCCTCCCCAGCCCACAAAACTGCTCCTGATCTTCATCTTGGATACAGAGTAGGAAAAGTAAGACCCTTTCTGCATGGCCAAGTCTCATGACAGAGGAAACTCCTAAAAGTGAGGCAGAATGAGGAGACAATGGATTAGCCTGCAGCTGGAGTGAAGTGAGGCCTGATTCTCTGCCACTCAACTGCTTGGAGAGCAACTCCAAGTCCCTGGTCCCTCCTTTTGGGTTCTAGTTCTCGGTCTGTAAAATGGAGAAGAAAGGATTGGAGTCCATCTCTATAGTTTGTAATCTAACCAGTGAGTGATCTAACCAGTGAGTAGGATTTTTTGTTTTGTTTTGGTTTTAAATAAAATAGTATAAAACAAAATATATTGATATTCATTATATGTGATGAACAAATCCTGTTTTTCAATTACACTTAACCACCCCCAACCCCCCACTCCACCCCACCCCACTCCACCCCGTACCAGGGACGGAGCTCAGGACCTTGTGCTTGCGAGGCAGGCAGCAGAACTACTGAGCATTTAGTCCTGGCCCTACTTAACTTCTTAATATAAACTTGTTTGCCTTCAATGTGCAATATACTTAAACTTGGAGGGTCAATGAAATAGAGCTTCTTTTCTAAGGTCCCTCATAGACCTATCCCTGTATGCAAGGTCAGTTTCCCAAAGTATTAACAGAAGATCAGCTCCCTCACTAGGCACCTCAGACAGGCCAGAAAATAAAATAATCCAAAGCAGTGGAATCACATATACTGGTGGTTGAGGTCCATGCAGCGATCAAGGCAGATGTATTCAGATGACCTGGCATTGAAAACATGCTATATACTTTGTAGTTGTTATCTTTCTGTTGGGAACATCCCATCCTGTGTTCTGTGTTTTATCTGCCCAGCGATAGCAGAAGACAGCACCTGCTTCAGCTGCCTGTTTTGTTGTGGCTTTTTGTATCTTGACAAACTGTATCTCGGAATTAAAAGAGCAAATTCATTAACCATTTCATGAACAAGTAAAGCCTGATAATCCCCTCACCCAGTTTTCTATTCGGAACTGAACCTAAGACCT